ATATAACTCACAGTGTACACAGTACTTGTAAATAAACTAGAAACTATTTACTCAAGTACCTCTCTGATAACAGTTTACACCCAATATCACGTGTTCACTGTATCACGTGTTCACTGTAGTCTGTATCACGTGTTCACTGTATCACGTGTTCACTGTATCACGTGTTCGCTGTATCACGTGTTCACTGTATAACGTGTTCACTGTATCACGTGTTCACGTGTTCACTGTATCACGTGTTCACTGTATCACGTGTTCACTGTAGTCTGTATCACGTGTTCACTGTATCACGTGTTCACTGTATCACGTGTTCACTGTATCACGTGTTCACTGTATCACGTGTTCACTGTATCACGTGTTCACTGTATCACGTGTTCACTGTATCACGTGTTCACTGTATCACGTGTTCACTGTATCACGTGTTCACTGTATCACGTGTTCACTGTATCACGTGTTCACTGTATCACGTGTTCACTGTATCACGTGTTCACTGTATCACGTGTTCACTGTATCACGTGTTCACTGTATCACGTGTTCACTGTATCACGTGTTCACTGTATCACGTGTTCACTGTATCACGTGTTCACTGTATCACGTGTTCACTGTATCACGTGTTCACTGTATCACGTGTTCACTGTATCACGTGTTCACTGTATCACGTGTTCACTGTATCACGTGTTCACTGTATCACTGTATCACGTGTTCACTGTTCACGTGTTCACTGTTCACCCGGTTCCCTCAACTTTTTAAACTCTTTTGAACGGAATTAATTACTGTAAATCAAATACTGCTACACCTTAAAATGTTTAAGAAATTACAGCTCATATCAAAGCAAAGACATTCATTCAGTTCAATATTGGGAGATGTTTGCTACACTACCAGTGAAATACTAGCGAAAGTAGCTCTGCAGTCTGTTTAAACATGCACTAAATACACGGGAAACTAAATAACTTTCTGGAATTCAATGACAGATGGACGCTAGTTTTCCTTGCTTTTCTTAAGCTTCACATGTGACAATTTCTTCAAATTCCTCTCATTCGACTTGCAGGGATATTGCCGAGTGTGCAGTAGAGGACGAGTAATGTGACATCTAATAATATACAGCTTTGCTCAGCCACGTCAAGAAAAAGACGACTGGAAGAGAAATTATGATTAGCCTCGGTTTGTTCGATCATACTTTTAGGCTGATCAGCCTAATTCGACACAGCGTGCCGAATTTATGTTGAATAATTATGCATGGGATATTTCATATACTTCTAGGGGTATTCAAAGTATTCAGAAAGAAAGGTATTTGCTTTCAACTCCGATATTAACTATGGGTTGAATAAATTCAAAACTAAACTATTTGTTGGCCATGCATTCCAGGGCTAAGGAAAGTTCACATTTTATACTAGATAATTGTAATATTATATTGATATTAGTTTACAACTTTAAAGTAAATAAGAGTTCCAACAGATTTATGAACTTAGCATGTTTATGCAAAACATGAAATATGACGAATATAGAGTTTGACTACCGAGAGTCCTGTACAACTTAACATTATATCTCATTTTTCTAGTCATGTTTAAGACGTGTCCCAGCATGAAGCACAATTTGACCGATTATTTCTACCCCAACCTTATTATACTAATCATAATACTAATCATGTTCACGTCACCAAATTAGAGTTTTTAAAGTGTCAAAGTCAGTGGTCTATTTACTGGTAGACCGAAGTCTGACAATGACCAAACAATTTGTCTCCAGTCTGATTATAAAGTCGAAATACACATGATATAGAGAAGAGGCTGTAATATCACCAACATGATAGACTGGATGATATGTGGGGGCACAGTGCACACTGATACACGTCAAACTGGATATAAAACTCACTCTGTCCACATGATCGTACGTGTCAAATCTGTTGTACTTGGCGTCCGCACTGTAGTGTTTAGTCGGGACTACTGTAGCTACCTTCAGTGACTTCGCCTGATTCAGAAGAGTGGGGTTAGAATATCAGATACTGTTAAAATGGGAGATATTATCGTTAAATTAAAACTGGGATAAAATACTCCATTGGAATGTAACGTAGGGTTACTTTGACAAGTTGGCTTCACTTTAGACATCAGTTAAGTTGTTCTATGTTTCACTCGATTTATTGAAAATAAAGAAGATTGTTAATGTTATAATAGGAATTGTGAATTTCAAAAAGCCTGCTCAGCACTTTCGTTTAATAGCTCTGGCAGATAACATCCTTACTCTATAACTAATAACTATATTATATCATCTTGAGTAGCTTAGAGTAAGATAATATCTCCTTTCTATGGTAGACATTGTGCAGGGAGTAGATATCTTGAGTAGCTCTGAGAGATGATATCTCCTAGAGATTGTGAGTAGATATAATGCAGTGACGTGAGTAGATATCCAACACCAACTCTTCTAGTACCACTGCCTAGCTTGTACCATTACCAATTACTGCACTTATCCAGATACACCCCCTGTAGTCTAACTAAGTATAACCGCTAAATTAATACATATGATTAGTGAGTACCACGTCACGTGAGTACCACGTCACGTGGTCCACGTGTTCAAAAGACAAGGTGCTTTTACAATATTATAATGATTGGGACTTTAGAGCTAACCGCTTACTAACTCAACAAACTATCTTTTCTGTTTGATAAGAATGCACACAGCTCTGTCTCGTTTTAAGAGTTCATCTTTTAACTGGGAATAGAAATAGAAGAAACAGAGGGCTGCTCACTTTTGTGTGATCATGTGACTTTGTACGTCATTTAAAGGAGTATTGTCAAGATAACACTGCTGAACAGTATGTTAAATACGACAGAACCGAAATTGTCTTTTATCCGTTATAGGACTAATGAGTTGTGGTTTTAGTTAGACTACAATATTATAGTACTAACGTAGAGGGTTATACTGTTATAGTATACTGTATTATGCTACATATAACATATTATCTCAACCTTACTTAGTTGAGTGTGTCCCACAACTTAACCAAGCACCATGCCTAGAAGTCCGGCGTTATGTATTATAATGATCCTGGACCTAAGTGGCAAGAAGCTCTATATCAACAACAAAAAAATGCTACATATTATAATATGTTATGCTACAACTAATTATGCGTCCTAGTAGCTATAGTTAGTGACCAGTCTTGAACTAATCATATGAGCTAACGGTAAAATAACACGTAGCTAGGTTTTATGTTAAAACCATCATGTAATATTGTAATAATTATGATTATAACGTTAAAGAGGCTAATCTCAGAGAGACATTAAGCCGTTTCGGGAGCCTGCTGTTCGGTAATTGCCACAGTTTTACAGAAAAGGATCCCTGAGTGGAGAGCTAAGTAGAGTGGCATGATATAGATTTAACTACGGGGCAGCGGGGACAACACGGCGTGTTGCAGAACTAGCATTTCACTGTGGAGACTGAGAGACTGGGGGCCGCGGCATTTTCAGGATTCTCGGATGGATGGCTGAAAAGTTGAAAACGAAAACAAATTGATATTGGCCAATGTCCATGCCATGGCAAAATTTCAAATTTAAGATATCGAAGGCGAAAGTAGGATAAATGCTCATTTATCCCAAAGTGATAAACAAAGTGCAATGAAGATATTAGATAGTGGAGGAGAAGTAATTTTGATATACATTCGACGAATCAAAACCAAAAGTAGTTCTGAGTTTGATGTCCCGTACCAGCGGTCCGGTATCACATGACAAAAGGGCGTATCTTACTATCTAGGACCTAGGACCTAGGTGCATGGTATAGATAACTCTTTCAGTACTCCAATGAGGGCAAATTTACTATCTACTTTTTCATTGGAGTAGTTACAAGGCTTTACATTTTGACAAATTTGGAATGCAGCAGGTCAAATTCAGCGAAATAACGTCTATTAACGAACAGAGCGATCCTCGACAATACGATCGCTAACTTACGCTAGTACTATTTGCAATATGTTCTCAAATATGCTAGAGTATGCTATTATGATTTTAGTTATAATAACTTCACGTTTGTCTCCTGACAACCACCCACCCGAGTCCAGTCATCTAAAACATTTAGAGCTAGAATTACATATTACTCAGTTACAGAGAACCACTTTGCTGTTAAGCATTAAATCTTGATAATTTAGAATGGAGCTCAGGTATCCATAAAGTTACTGAGGATATAATTCGCGAACCACATAATGTTATGAATGATAGGGGCCTTACTGCTTAGCCGACAATCGACTTGCCCGACTATATAAATTCTTATTTGTTCGCAGCCGGGACCGACAGAAAGGAAGGCAATTAAAGTGGATCACAATTCTGAGAATTGTCCTCCAAGAAATTGTCAGAACCATATTTGAGTAAATTAATGTTTAAATGTTGACCTATTCTAATACCAATACCAGCAAGTTATCAGATGAATCTGGCGTGGACGACAAAAAGCAATTTAACGCACAATAAATAATTAAAGATGGTTTTCAACTATAGTGAGGCCTTTGAAGATCAGGCGGTAGTGACGCAGAGACGCTGCTGAAACCACTCTGAGATTAACGTGCGTGATGGTATAGTAGTATATTAAATATCTGGGAATTGCTCGGTTGAAACTCTTGCAACAGTAGCTTTTATTAGCTGTAAAACCATGAAGCTGGAGGTGATATAATAATCTTAACCACTACAAATTCAAGTGAAAATGTCAAACAAGCCGCGCGACAAAGATCCTGATACAACAAAAATCTGTATGAATTAAAACTTGGCTTAAAACATGAGTTGTACATATTCTATTTTTGAATTAAATCGTCCCTCAGTGCAACAAGCGCTATTTTAAAACATGTCGAGTTCTGACAGAACACATTTGTTTCGTGCACTACAAATCTATTTATAGAGTTTTAAAACCTCGTAAAGAGGGATAATAATATGTATTCTATTTCCAGAACTGTCAACCCCCAGGCAAGTGATACATTCAAGAACTCAGTCTATGGCTCCGAACCAAATCGAACCATTAAAAGTTTTAACTTTGGAGATTTGTATAAATTGTGGTATCACACTTTGCCGGTGTCAAATCTACAAATTTACCGTAGAGAACCATCATGAAGATATGTAGCAAACTCTCATTCCACAAGTTCTCACTTCTCTATATCTAGAAATGACTTAAATCAATTTAATTGCACAGTGTAAAACAGTAGTCCTCTCACCAGCTACCCTTAACCCTGAGCGTTTTGGGTATCCCAATGGAGTAATGCACCAAATTAATCCGTTCCAATCCGAGTCGCTACTCGTACCTTTTGAACAATGACTTACTAAGTTAGATCACTATCTCACTTTGTAAAATATATAATAACAATATAATAATATAATATATAATAGTGTGTACGGGGTATTTATAACCCCCAATCTCCATACAACAGTCCCTATAATAACCACACACATGACTTGGTGCTATATTAGAGGGGAACTAAGGTAGAGTTAGTATAACTATAGCGAGGAAGGTAGTTAGGGGAGTCTACGCCCTATCTGCACCGTCCTGTCTAATGTAAAACAGGGCCCTTGTACCTGATGTTATAATCTGCTAGAAACTCCTCCTGTGGAGACCGCATGTTTATTTATGCATTTTTATTTACATAATATATCTGGATACTGGTGTGGAGGTGAACCCAATATTTGTTCTCGCACGTGACAGCGATTAAACCAATCAGCTCCCAGCATTGAACAATCAAAACATAAAATGACTGTCATGTTTCGAAACAAACATGGTTAACGTGCCCACCAGTATCAATATCTATAATATCTATAGTAACCAGCTGAAGGCCCGGACCGTATCTCTTCCGAACTAGCTAGAACTATAAGATCTAAGTGAAACTAACTAGAAACCCGTCTTTCAGACCGCTTCTTAATCCATTAATACCGGGCCACGTTACCCTAAATGTTTAATAACAGGATATTGAAATAAAAATACCATATTTGGAGCTGACGGATTTGTTTAAAGTACACTAACTACCTTTAGAAAAGGTCATGTAGAGACTAAGAAGAAACTTATCCCCATATAAGGAGTGCCAGACTGCACCATTAGGCATTAACTTAGTCACGTGATGTGACGTGGAAGTTACGTTACTACCATCAACACTTGCCGATTAGAATACAATATGAAGGTCCACTGTCAAACGGTGATATTAGACACTACAAGAAGCCATGTAGTAATTATGTTCTTGGATATTGTCCCAGTACAGATCATGCTGCTTCTTCTGACTTTTAATGATCAAGCGAGACCTTCATTTGATTTAAGCGAGATTTTCCTTGATGTAAACAGTTCCCAAAAATGAACTGTATGAATGAGATTATATCAAGGCGAAGGAAATGAACAAGGAAATGAAAGAAGCGTGCCTCTCATTTTATTTTTACACGTTCCACAGAAACATATTCCTAACTGCAGTGCTACATATTATGCCAGATTCAGTCTGTTATCATGAATCCTCTGCACATGGTTGAACCTATCTGACCAGGTTTAATACGGGGAGTGATTTAACTCCGGATAAAACTGAATTCCTCGCCTCTTGCCAAGACTCGCTCTTTTAATTATCATGAAGCTCCTCAATCCTTTCTGAGGAACCCCCTCCACGTCAAACGTACGTCATTTTCATAACCGTACCATTGGAGGAATGTCACTACTCACTGTGACGCCACCATGGTTACCATGACTATAGTTACCATCACATTACCTCATTTGGCAATCTTCAATCTACACACTGCACTGATATTTACAGTATTGATTGTCTGGGATATAATTGTTACACTCACTAGTAGCTCTTGGTTGCATGAAGGAAACACACTGTGACACACTGCTTCAGTGGGTACTGCAATGTAGAATGAAGGTGTGTTATTGAATTTTATCAAACACGCAGCTATCGTAAAACTTATTAGATTCTCTTTTACTTTCTCTTTATCTTTTATTTGTTATCACTGTATAGCAACCAATACAAATGTAGGGCAAAATAGCACCTCCATCCGATTATTAGTCGCTCATAAATTAAATCATCTCCCTAAATCAAAAGCCCCATTTTCAATTTGGTCTAATAATTTACCTTATTCACCTCCGATCACTTGCCAAAACCCTAAGATTTAAATAGCATCATATCACCTTAACTCAATACCCCTTATAACAATGGTAAGGGTCATTAGACACCCTTCACACCAGTTTGCACTTTAAGGCAAAATTAAGAAATACGGCCAATAAGAAGTCCTAATTAAAGGTAATCCTACAAGTTGATGCGCGTCTTCAGTTTGCATAATTATTCATAATATGTAATAGGATATAAGACGTCTAAGATGAATTATGGTTAGGTTATATTATTATACTTTTATACTGCAGGTCGCAGGATTCTATTGTCACACACTTGGCTGGCAGCCAAGATGTGTACATTCCCGCCCCTTTACCCTCTGTGTAGTACTCGGCGTGCAGTGTGGTGCTAGTACACAACTAATCACATCAACTAGTATAGGCCTTGTTGTAACGTTGGAACAAAGCATTTATCATGTCTCACACGCTCTCTCTCTTTCTCTCTCTTTCCACCACTTTCTCATCTAATTTTCCTACAACAATCTATTTATCGGCAGGAGCAGAAACGCTCACGTGCTAATCAAACCAGCTGCTGATTGGCCTATTATCAGGAGCCTGGAAGTGGTAGCGTGTGTGGAGTGCTCAATGCGCATCTGCCAGTGTTGTGGGCCCTTCTCTTGACAACAGCAGGTATAATTAGTAAATATATAATTAGTAATTACTGATTTAATAACATTGCAGAGGCCCCCCAAACGCTAAGCTGCAGCTCACCGAGTCCTGTAATCAATATTCACTGCCACTCTAATTTTAGACTCTTTGAGTAAGCAGCCTCACAAAAGTTTTTACATAATATTATTATTACAACGTGGCTCCGGCTGTTGTAAGAGTAATAACACGCACCTGTTCAGTATTCAATTATATACAGTGCACTAGACCGAAGTGAGAGACTATGTATGATAATAACGTTGTTGCAGCTGCTCGCTCACTTAGAGAGAGCTAGAGAGATAATAAGGATTCGTTACTTGATATACTGAAAAGGCAGGATCTATCAGATCATCATTATTCTTACCACCACGCTCCACAGCATGATTTTTACTGTGTTGATTAGACTTGTTGAGTCTTCTATAGGTAACGTGCAGTAGACTAAAGTAATCATTAGAGGCCAAGTCCCACACAATATATATCAATATCCCTCTCTCTCTCTCTCCCTCTCTCTCTCTCGAACATTCTTTACCAAACTCTCCTTTACAAATCTCTCTTTCAATATTTCCTAATGTAGTCTGTTAACAAAGAACCGACTCTCTCTTTTTCTCTCTCCCTCTCTCGTCCTGGTCCGACGTTATAATTGTGTATTGATTTGCTCAAGACGGCACTCAGAGCTCGCCTCATATTACTCATGAAATATCCAGTATTTGCCAAGTTGTAGCCTGCGCAGTCAGTGGGAGAATATAATATAATATATATCACGCATATTTATCCATTATATTACTCAGAGCGAGAAAGAGAGAGAGAGTAGTGGTTGGGGAGGGAGGTAGTCATATGTGCTAGATTTAGAACTTCTGTTACACGCCGTGTGTATGTGACGGTCTACTTGGGGGTCTCTTGTTTTCTGTCACAGTTAATCATTACTGTTATCACGTGGTGTGTGTGGGAGGGGGGAAGCTGATGTTGTGAATGTGGTGGGGGGGGGGGGCCTGAATTACTTATCCTGTGATCAATTTTCGGAATGATCATCTAACTGCTGCAGTAAACTGTACATAATATGTATAATATGTATAATTCCATGGAAAATTTGTCTGCTTTCGAGTAATAAGCAAATAAGAAACTAGCTGCAGGCTGAGAGATAGCTCACTTCTTTTGGAAGATGAACATATATGGAAGTAGAGCTGCAGGGGATCTAATCTGAGTATCTTCCGGAGAATTCAGGTACCAGTTTGACATGTGTCCCGTGCGTTGGTTTTGACAGCACACTAATTTGATTGAAAGCTCTTCTATAATTCTGGGAAACGGAGGAAGCGACTTTGTAGAAATGTAAACCAAGGAGAGCTTGTAACCGGTTACATTGGTGGGAGTTAAACCTTCCGCAGAAATGTGGAAATGATCGTAATGTCGTGGAAACCCATTACCGTCTGTGAGTATTTGTTGTAAAATGGCTAAGTCATTGTAATGACAAGAGACTCGGATCATACTTTCTCCAGAAAAAAGAGAGAGCATGTACGCTCTGATACATATGTTTTTACACGGATTTGCTTCCTTCACCGAAACTCCAACGACAAAAGAAAAACAATAGACGAACGTGCGCATGACTGACCCAGAAAATATTCATTAAAACCTTGGCTTGGATAACGCTGGCCTTGTAGCTGTACGTTCGCTTGCCAACAGCAAATACAATACCCGATAACTGTTTAACCGTAATATTCTCAAATTCACTCTCTTACTGATTATTAAGGTGGAGAAGATCGGCAGCTTAAGCAACAGACACATTTCTTGTCATCCATAATATGCACTGGAATTTTCCATCATTGTCTGTCTCTTGAATGCTAACTTCTAATCAGACTATTAGACAGGCATAGAACATTAGAACACCATCACCGAAAATCATATCCAAATAGTAGCAGTGAAGCGCCAGCAATTTTGCCAGACAAGTAGCAAATAATTGCTCCGAAAGGTGTCTTCCTTACGAATTTAAAATAACCGCTTAGCACTAATTAGAACGACAACCGACGAGCTATGTAGCGATTTTAGAGAGCTGATTTTATAAAGCTGCTGCCCTGCTGGTAGCGGCACTAGATAATACATAGCCACCTGAATACGGTCCTCAAGTAACTGCAGAATAAGTGACACTTTAGACCGGATCATTGGGACTCGTTGGGGGCCATTCTGGTTGAGGCGTGTAAATTTGGGGTGGTCAAGACATTGGTTTAGATAATGGTTTAGTGCGTGTATCATAATAGGGGTACGGCTATAAATGACACAATAAATAGTTGTTAATTAAGCTTAATGGTTAGTTATGATTTCATAATATTATAGTGTATGTTTAGTTTAGATTTCCCCGAATCTAAACCATTCAGAAGGATACTTTCGAGATAATTATCTTTTCGTTACAACTCTAGTAATAAACCAAACCTTGGTGTCAAATTATGCTGTTAAAGTTAACTAGTTACTGAAATTCACGAACCTTTTCGCGGATTGACGAAGGAATGTGAGCTTGAGGAGTCGGCCTTTCTTTAGCTTTCTGGCACTTGACACAGGTGTAATCTTCAGAAGCCTTCTCCATTTGTCTACCCCGCTCTAAACTGATACCTACACAATCCCCGTGGTACCACTCCTCACAGCTGTCACAACATATCATGAACCTGCGAGTTACTCTCTTATTCGGCAGCTTACTCAAACAACAATTTGAGTGGCAGAGCATTCGAAAATAATTGAGAGCATGATAGTCATTATAATGTTGTATGTAATTTGAGACACGACGAATTCTAATCGATTATGGCAAATGTTGACGAACCTATTATTTTGGGGCTGTCGACAGATACAGTAGAATTTTTCAGGTTCTTTGAATCTGGGGCTAGGTTCTTCAGGAACTCTCTTTCCCTTCCCTTTTGGTGGTCGTTTTCCACCAGGCTCAGGTACGGGGGAATGTTTCCTCTTTTGAACTGTAAGAAGTAGAACATGAGCAATAGTGAGAGATCGGTGACATTAAAGACTTCCAAAAATAAATTGTGTCAATAAAGACTTTAAATACTTCTAGCACTCACAAACTCTTGTAACTTTACCAATTAAGGAATGCTTGAACAGTTTTATGTCAATAACTTTCATGATTTCATAAACAGCTGTTTAGCCTCAAACGAAAAATATCAGGAAATTATGCAATACCGTCTGCATAAAAAAAGGTTGTTCACCTTTTAGAGGCGGAGAGGAAGGTTGATCAGGGGAATCTCCACTGCTGACTCGATCATCTGCCATGAAGTCCTTCTCCAGCTGCTCCAGGGTATCCAGATCAATGATATCCTGCAATTATTCATTTTGCTAATGACAGGTGTTAAATATTATGGTACTTACGGTAATGATGAATAAGCCAAAGAAACTGATCCTTTGATACCATGAATAGTATACTTAAGATTAATACTTCATTCGATTTTTGAGTACACTCCAAAGCAAAGTAACTTATAAAGTAGAAATTTAGGTAACAATCTTACCTCCAAATCCTTGTCATTAAGCTTTCCGAGCAGCTTTTCAAATCCTCCATCTTCGTGGTCATCATCTAAGGCTAACAGCTTCGACAGTGACAGAGCACTATTCTGTAAAGTGTTGTCATCAAGGTCTGCTATGAAGTCGTCAAAATCGTCTGCCATGAGTTAGCGAAGTTTATCTCTATTTAACTGGTTGAGAATACTCTTGTGTCCATTTATCTTCAGTTAATATTTCCTTGTTGCTGTAGCTAAAGTAATGAATTTGGTTAAGAATATATGTAAAAAACTCAAAGTCAAACTGAGAATTAACAGTTCTATTTAATTACCGTAAGGACAAAATCAAATAACAACTTTCGGCTAAAAATGATGTGTCTTAAAAACGTAAGGAAAGCTATTGAGTGAAAGTCTGTAATTGGTCAACTCAAGTCAAACTAAAATGTGCTAATATGGGTGAAGTGTGAACACGATTGTCAAATATATTTAAACGATGCTGCCAGAAAATTTGTTAACAACTTACAACAGCTGAAATAACAAAAATCTCATACATTAATAGCGAAAATAACAATTTTTGCAAAGAATAACATAACAATCAAAAAGTCAATAAATTGGTAAAAGACGATTTCGTTGTTGCTGAAGTTGAAGATCATGAAATAAGTGACACTTTTGACAGTTACAGTAGTAGCAACTCACCGCCAGTAAATTTATACGATACTTTGATCCCATGTATTATGTCAAAGTATCGTATTTATTTCGCTGCTGATAGAGTTTCTCGCCATGGCCATACGTACAAGCAGTGTTTATGTAACTATTGGACTACATATACCAATTATATCAGTAGGATATTATTTGGGAAAAAACAAAATTTTGCAGCGCAATGTAGATATTAAAAAGTCTTATTCAAACAAAATACACAAATGATTCCAGCAATGATTATTGTCCAGCTACAATATTGACTAACCATGTACAGTCCAAAACAAACTTAGTTAACGCCAATATCGTCGAAAACAAAACTAAACATTTTTTGTATAAATTAAACTGATCGTAAAAACAATGAACTCCGGCAATATCAAAAGCAGTAGTTATGATTTAAATGATAATCAGAAAAGTTCAAATGTAGCGCTCGATTTTTGTAGTTACAGTATAATGCGAATACTATATACGCGCGGCGCACTTTCAATTTAATATTAATACTATTTAAAACTTTTTATTATATTATGATTACCTTTTCATAAATTTTGCTTACTGGTTAATTTTTAGATTAACTTCAACTCAATTTTATTAAGTAAAACAAAATTTATTTAAATGATAATCAGAAATTATTTTTACTATTTTTTACATTTGCATCTCATGAGATGCAAATGTAAAAATATAACATTAACATATAAACGCCAAATTGCAATTAGTATTATTTGTTAAAATTATGCATGTGCATATGTGTCAATCACAATTTTATTTAAACATAAGCATACTTTTGTAAATTAATAATTTACCAGGACGCGCGCTGAGTTGGACTGAAACAAATATTTTACGAGTATCACCCGTTAAGCATACTTTTGAAATCACACATTGTTTTTGCTTTTACAATTATCATATAATAGAAACAAACCATTAAAACTAGTTACATTACATGTACAACATTTATTACATGACGTTTATTTATATATCATATACGAATATCGCAAAACTAGTCTAATGGTATTTAGAAGGCATTAAATTAAATTAAATGTACTGCATACTGAGAGCTGCAGTTCTAATTATAAGTACAATGACAGAGTCCTAAATGTCGAAAAGGCTTCCTTTCACGCCACTGGTGTTCAGTACTACAGGAGGAATGGCAACTGAGGCTTCACAGTTCCTAAAACATCTCGCTGAAAAGATCAGCCTAAAGAAAGGCCAACGGTATTGTGATGTGATGTCATTTGTCAGACGCAGACTGCGTTTTGATCTACTCAGAACCTGTATAATCTCTATCAGGGGGTACAGAGGTACCAGAACCCTTCCACCCACGGCAATAAGTGATTTGGACCTTAACCTGATCAACACTTTTAAACCCTAAAAGGTCATGGAGTGCTTGTTGGATGGGGGGTCTAAACTACTTATTGTTGTGATGTGATTTAGTGGATTTTACATATATTATTGCAAAGGGTTTTATTTTTACCTCAGTTTTTAAATTTGTACCATTTTTACAGAATTTTTATAGTTATAATTATTTTTATATAGGGTCATTGCTATATTATGTGTATATTGTTTGAATATTTTCATTTTTTTTTTTTTTTTTTTTTGTTCTAATTATAATATTAGAGTTTATATATTAGAGTTTATATATCAAAGTTTACGTACAGCCATTTGTATTTTAACTCCAACCGTGAAAACCGAAGTTAACTGTTAACACAAAAATCAAATCAAGATTTTAGCGCGCTGCGCACATACGTATCACAATAAATTCATACGTAAGAATCGAGCGCTGCAGCCGAATGTACTATAATTTCCATAATTGTTTAACAATCAAAGGTTTACATTCATGTCCGTGTGTCTTTTGTGGTCGTGAACTGAGCAGTGGCGTAACGTAAGGCCCCGCAGACCCCGCTATGCGGGGGGGCGCCGTGAGAGGGGGGCGCCAAAATTCTGCCGCCCCTCCTCATAATTTGGCGCCCCCTAGAAATATGGCGCCCCTGGTAATAAGATACTTGGTATATAAGGTCCAAAAGTTGTTAAATATCGTGCTACTGTTTTAAGATTTGTAAAATTCTAAAATTAAATATAGTGCAAAGCAAGCAGCCAGCGCGCGCTAAAACCACGTGGTAAGTGATAACGATATTGCAATTGTTATACAAACGTGGTATACAAACATAACATAACATTATAAATAATGCCTCTCTGGGCATCTCAAAAAGAAATTCATAGAAAATGAACACTTTACGTTTGAAACCATATAATTACCAACTTTAAAAAAATTTAATTAAATACCTTTGATATTAACCTTCTTCCTCTTAGCTACCAATGGATTCTCTTTCATATAACTTACATAACTATTCCTATTAGACACAGACACATCTATCCTATCAAAGATGTCATATGAAAGTTCCCAGTGATGACCAAGCTTATTAGCTCGATATCCATGAAGCCGAAAGGCATCTAATCCCCTCTTGAAACCAGTAACTGACTCACTAGCTTTCACAAGTGGTGGTAGACTGTTCCAATAGCGCAAGACCCTTTGGGCAAAGAAATCAGTCTCATATGTGGTGAATCTATGAGTCTTTGATCTAGCAGCAACGGTCCTACCAGAACGACCAAATAAATCGGAACCATAACCCACAAAGCCTTCCTGGATCTTGAACATCTCAATGAGATCTCCACGAACCCTGCGTTCAAGCAGGGTTGTGAGGTTCAGCTCATCCAGTCTCTCTCTGTACGTCATGAGTCCCAATCCATCAATCATACGGGTGAACGATCTTTGAACACCTTCCAATTCAAGAATCAGTGACCAGTTTCCATGCCTAGCCATTGGAGCCCATGCCTGTGAACAATACTCTATATGAGGCTTTACTAAAGACTTATACAAGCCCAGCATAACGCTTTTCTCCCTCGATATAATATTTCTTGTAAGCCAGGCAATGGTACTATTAGCTTTAGCAATGCACTTTCTCACATGACCCTCAAAGTTGAAGCTGGTGTTAAAGACAACTCCAAGGTCCTTCTCGCTTTCAACACATCTCAAAGGCACACCACCAAACAAGTACTGATTCTTAGGATTACAAGAACCAATTTGCATGACCATACACTTATCTACATTAAAATTTAAACACCAACGAGACTCCCAAAGTTCTAGCAACTTCAAATCAGCTGTTAGATTAATAAAAGGATTAACAATCATTTTAACATCATCAGCAAAAAGTTTGATGATAGCTTTGATTCCTTCTGGAAGATCATTTACAAATAAAAGAAAGAGCAATGGTCCCAAAACACTGCCTTGGGGCACTCCTGAAAGTATATACTTAATCTCAGAAAATTCATCTCCTACTTTAACTTTCATAGACCTCCCTACTAAAAAGTTTTCTAAAATACCAATTATCTCCTCAGGAACACCAACATTTCTTAATTTAACTAATAAACGGTGGTGTGGTACGCTATCAAAGGCCTTAGAGAAATCAAAGTATAATATATCAGCACAGCCACCTTCAGCCAGCAAGTCATTGACAGCGTCAATAGACTCCAGTAGGTTAGATAAGCATGACCGACCCTTCATGAAGCCGTGCTGCGTGCTACTAAGCACCTGTTCAACACCGTCGAGAATATACTCCCTAAGAAGCTTCTCATAGGCTTTGCATAGTATACAAGTCAGTGACACAGGCCTGTAATTATTAGGACTATGTACTGACCCCTTTTTGTGCAAGGCCACAACAGTGGCAGTTTTCCATACCTCAGGAATATACTGCTCAGAAGCACAGGCACTAAACAGCAACACAACCGCATCCACAAAGGAACTGTTCTCACTTAAATACCTCAGGAGTCTAGGATGAACACCATCAGGACCCATAGCTTTACTAATATCTAGTGATCCCAAAATCTTGGCAACACTTTCAGGGTGCACCATAAATTTACTCCAGAAGTAATCATCATTACATTCTGTATAACAATTTTGAGGCAGAGGGCCAAAAGGTTCAGGTTTAAAAACTGACTGGAAAAAATCAGCTAACACTTCTGCCGTTTCAGAAGGAGACTTGGTCTCAGAACCATCATCTGTTTTAAGTCTTTCTACAGATTTTCTTAAAATACTTTTAGATTTAAGGTAATTAAAAAGAGGTTTACAATTTAACTTAAACAATTTAGTCACTTTATTCTCATATTTGATCTTTGCCTTAATCTCAGCGTTCTGGTACATCCGCTGCTCGTACTCGGCTGCGTTAAACATCACCATCGTAGGATCCTCGTCAAAATCCTTCCATGCCCGGTCCTTGCACTTTCTTTTCCTAACCAGACTAGAGCAATCCCAGGGTAACCTCTGTAAGATCTCCCCACCTTTAGTTGTTTTAAGGTGGGTGGTTGGAACACGATCTGAAATGACACAAAGTTTTTGGTGTAATTCTTCCCACATCTCTTCGACCTGAAGATCTTCTCTAGAGTACCCCCAGCTGATGTCTGATGACTGTGTGTTAACAAAGTCCTGATCCACCTTATACCAGCTTTTCTTCTTAGATGTAAGGAACTCGACATTGTTTTTGACTTTCAGCTCGACAAGTAGTGATACATGATCGCTTTTACCCAGAGGAGCAAGGATATCAACATTATTTACAAAACAATCATTATTGCAGAAGACCTGATCAAGCAAGGAGCATTGAGTTGTATCACCAACCTTCCTGATACGTGTCGAAGACCCAGTGACATACCACTTCAAACCTTTCCTGGTAAAGACATTCAAAGACATACAAAATTCGCGCGTGAGAATGTTTTGATTTTCTGGCAATTTTAGATATCAATTTTTACTTTTAACTTAGATCCCAATTTCATCGGCAGTCACTTATTGTAGTTTTAATGATCCTATACAAATAAAACACCAACATCTAACAGGTAGCAATAACAGATAAAAATATGGAAATAAAAAACAATTTACATTTTTCAATACTACATAATATTTACATTAGCGTACAGTTCATATTCCAAGCAACTCTCTTAGGTTTGGAAAGAGCATCAAATTTGGCCACAGGCCAGCTCTTTCTTGTCAAGTTGTCTTGCTGTTAAGTTCTCGATTGAGATGATGGCTAAAATGTAAACTGCTTAATCTATCGTTTAGTTACCCATTGTGCTTCGGAGTTTTTTAAATAGCTTCAGTTTGCTAAAGGATTTTTCAGCACTGGCTGTACAGTTATTCAGATTGGCACCAAAATCAACTTGAAGGCTGACAAGCTACGTAGCGAAATATTCACAGACAAATAAGATTTAATTCTTCAGTCAGGTCGTGCTTGTGGAGCTGGCTCAGTTGTTTTGCAGCTTTCGTCAGCGTACAATTGACTCCACATTTTGCATAGTATGTACTATGTACATGAAATCTTCCAACGGTAACGAAACCTGATTTGGGAAATTTGATGTTAATTTACAAATAAATCTGTAAACCACTTCCTTCTACAAATTTCACCACATGGCATAATACCTAACATAACTCCACAGATGCCACAATATTAAATGATTCAAAATAAACCTCAATACTTACTTCAATGTTTTCAGTCACATCCCAACTCTGCATATACAGTGAGCAACCACACTCCACACATATTGGCATTCGGCATGTAGTTCATATAAACACATGCTATATCCGGGAATTTCATTATAAATGTAAAGGTTTGTTCATTAATACATTTTTTAACGTACGGAAACAATTCCTACAAAAATAGGTCACTCTTTGTAGTTACTAGTTGTGACACCATATTACAACAGCCATTTCAAATCATTACTACTTCTGGCAGCAAAACAAAGTCGGCTACAACTGCAAGTTCTAACAAATAACAATAATCATTCGAACAACTACCAATAAATAGAAAAGTATACATTTAAATGTTTAACATCATCATCTGGTAACAACCATACTACCATAAAAACTTGCTAACAGCATTAGATAATGGACAATCAGTACAGTGAGTACAGCTCACACACGCACTTTTCAATTGTATAATATATAAGATCACCATTCCCCCGTATGTTGCCATGGTAACTGTCCCAACGGAGCGTCAAGAATATGATCGGTTATAAATCGGTTATTAAGTGTTTCGAAGGTGTGTCCCATACATTAGTTTACTGTTACACTCAGTGTGTAATATTTTTTTCCTCGACGATTTGCTTAATAACACGAAACCATTTGTGTAAAGATTACATTTGATCGTACCAACTATTTAAGCTCCATTTATCCGTTGAACATGGATGTTAAAACGAAGAGGTCAGTTTATATATTACATCTGTTGAGTCTGAACACCTACCCAGTAACCATGGTGATAATTCCAGAGATTTCACGTGATTTGCTAACCAAGTAATGCTATAATTGAATGCGTATAAAGTGCACTGATCTATCTCATTGCCTTGAAATGACGTGGCATACTTGTAATCTAGCGGCAGTAATGTTTTACTGATCAAGCTTGTCAGTAGAATTCTTTAACCATTCCCCGAATCCCCCGTATGTTGCCATGGTAACTGTCCCAACGGAGCGTCAAGGATATGATCGGTTATAAATCAGTTATTAAGTGTTTCTAAGGTGTGTCCCTTACATTAGTTTACTGTTACACTCAGTGTGTAATATTTGTTTCCTCGACGATTTTCTTAATAAAACGAGTAACGTTCTATTATATCCTATTAGCTACATTATGTTTCTGACAAACTTACCTTCAATACAGAACGAAATTAACTAACAATCAACATTACATAATTTCTCAGTGTTTCTCAACACTGAAGCGCAAACAGTTTAAGAGTACTACCAAGTTTAAGAGTAATACCAATCATGATCAGTACCTATAATATTCAGTATTATTCTATCGATGTACTCATCTACAGAAGTACAGACTACACACATCTAGAAGATACCAACCAACACTCCTTATTGTCATTATCAATAACATATGAATAATATTAATCTGCGACAACGGACAAGTAAGAAACGGCATCGTTTCCTAAACTTCGACTAAAATGAGTCCTACAAAATTGACTTATCTCCACTGAATCAGTTCCTCGTAATAAAGACTGAGCTAAAAGTAGAAACTGCTAAAACAACTCAGTAGTAAAATATATTGATTGTACACCGCCCAGACTCCCAATGCAGTTCTTCATATTCGACCAGCTGTGAGGATATTTATAATAACATACATTCGCATAATGTTCGCGTAAGCTAAGTACGGCATATTTGATATTTTACCCCATTGATGATTACAATTTACATGAACAACCGGTAACCTTAATATAATATAAATTTTTGTAACATATACAGCAGCTTAAAACAGTTCTCCTCGTTAGACTAACAATATGAAACACACAATTCACAAAATTGTTTCATTGTTTATACTTTATCACAAATTAACAGTAACACCACTAATCAGACAAATGACAAATTACCTAGCTGCTGTTTCGAATGTAATGTCTAATGTCAAACGACAATGAAACGCGAACAAGATTCTGACATTGTGTAACCGACTTATCATTAGTGTCCCGTACATGATACATTTATTATTACCATAAGTTAACGCGTCGTCCCTCTGCATAGTCCAATCACAACCGTTAACAGGTATCACGAGATAATATTTTATCCAACGCGAAAACAATCATGCGCAAATTACTGGCGATTTAATTACAAAATCGCGCGGCTTACATGTAAAATTATTTGCGCGCGGCTTCTCACTTTCCAAATTTAAATTTTATTGGCTCACATTTATATTCCGTTTTAAAATTTAAAAATTGTGATGGCAACGGCCCTCGGACAAATCTAGCGAGCGAAGCGAGCGCGCTCCAGAAAGAGGGCGCTTTTTGAGTTGAGCGGGGGGGCGCCAAAAAGTAACGTTACGCCACTGGAACTGAGTCGATCGTAATTGTGGGGCTGACTGTTTCTATTTCCTCACTTCTAATGTCTGTTGCCCGGGATATCCGTCCTCATGTTTCTTTTTGTTGCGAATTAATCCTTGATTATTATGTCAACATCTTTGCAGCAGTGTCATACGCCTTCATGGAATTTCAAGTTGGGACGGTAACCCTTTGCGATCCAGTGTAGCATCCTCCTTAGGATAGTGGGCTTTTGTCCGCAAATCCGTTTAATAGTAACTTCACAATTGACAGTATACATCTGAAATTCTATCCTGTTAATAGTAGAGGCTTTTACAGGGATTATCTGCTCGATACCACAGAATCATCAAATCCATCTTGATGGACGTATTTTTGACCACTAAATCGATTCATGATGGTCCGAAATGTTTTAAATGGGACTTATCCCATTTATAAGGTAAGAATTGATAGGTAAACTCGAAGAAAAAATTAGATATTCTGGTTTATTGAAACATTGTAATGTGCTGCACTTGCTGATTTCGATGAAATAACCATATCTAAAAAAATGAAACTAGAATTTTTGTCCGTAAGAGCCTTTACTAAAAGCCGAACCGAAGTTATACAATTCCTCTCTAGGTCTAGGAGGTCATATGGATGTTAACATTCTCTAACAAAATACATGATGTAAACTTAATTAAGGATGAAAAATGACAGACGAAGAGACAACAAGCCACCTTGTAAGTTATCCTGATATCAAAGAGCCACAGAAACCTCTCACTGAGAAGCATGCCTCCCCAAGAAAAGCTGCAGTTCTAAATTTTAACCCTGATGGATCTTTGTGCATTCCTGCTGATTTGAAAGAAAAACTTGTCCACCAGCCGACAAAAGGAAATACATCTAATAGACAAAGTAAGTGTTATGATTACATTATTTTAGATGTTTTGGTAGATGCATTTGCTGGACTTTGATTAAGATGTTACTGTAATGTCAGTTAGACAAGTGAAAGTTGTTACTTTACTAGCTTTATTATTGAAAACAATCATGATAATAAAAATCAGTTTTTCTAAAATTACTTGTATACTTGCAGATACTGGCACAAAAGAAAATGTGACCCCTGATTCAAGAAAGCGTAAGAAAAACAATGCCCCAACTGTTTGGGTACCTCCCCCTCAGGATTGTTGTCACTTCTGTTATACTAAAGATGTTTCTAAAAAATTGGGAGAACTAAAGGACGTTGACGGAATACTTGCCCATCATAGCTGTTTGGTAACTTTCTTTGTTTCCTAGATTTTTCTTGCATCCTATTTCGAATGTAGAGGCAAAGAATTAGGCCAATCAGTGTTATCTATAATCGTTATTGCTTGAGATTTAATAATTATCAACTCCTAATCATTTTGCAGCTATTCTCGTCTGGATTGGTTCAAGCTGGAAATAATGAAGAAGGATTATGGGGATTTCTCACTCCCAACATCAAAAAAGAACTGTCTCGGGGGAAACGTTTGGTTTGTTATTCTTTTGATATAGAAGATATCATAATTACATTAGGATCCTTAGTTTACTGAGCTATAGGAATCCAAATTACTGTTTATTTAGAGAGTAGCTTCTTGACGTGACTCGTTAGCAATATCCTAATAATCAGGACATTAATGGTCACCTTCAAGTAAGGACAGATAGGCTGAGGGGAGCTAAATTGTTCTTTTCCTCAGACATGTTCGTTTTGTCGGTTACCTGGTGCCCTGGTGGGATGTAACAAGGCGCGCTGTTCCTACACTTATCACCTGACTTGTGGGCTCTCAAATGGTTGTCTCATGCAGTACTACGATAACTTCAGGTACTTGGTCTGGTCATATCTCGAAATTATCGAAAAAGCTGAAGAAAAAAGTAGAATAATTATTGTTGGATTAATCTTATTTACAAATGCAGAAGAATTCCCTTGCTTCGTAAGTTATTATTTACAAATGCAGAAAAATTCCCTAGCTTCGTAAATGAAAAGTTTAGTTCTAACTCTGGACTTTTCAGGTCGTTTTGTGACAGCCACAGACCACGACAGAACTTCTTGGAGGAAATGATGGGTAAAACAGTGGAATGTGCTATTTGTGGTGACATGATATCAGTGGAGAGCAAGGTGGTACCACAACAAGTTATAGTCACTGAGTGCTGCAATATGACTCCTTTTCACAGGGACTGTATTCAGGTATAAACCCTTCCATTGAGTCTAAAAATTATCAATTACAGTTCTCAAAGTGCTTATCAATCATAATCTATGCCTTACGAATTTCCTGATATTGCTAAGCAGCTAACTAATCACGATAATATGATACATAACCCTCTTTCAGAATCAAGCCGATGCGAGTGGTTACTTCTTTAGGTGTCCAATGTGCAACAACGAGAAAAAGTTCAATAATATCATGAAAATCATGGGGATAAATATCCCTCTAAGGTAAGATGATATCTTGAATAAAGTGATGACGTCACCAAAGTCATTATATATAAATATAGATAATATATGACGAATTAGAGTATCGATTTAATTGAGTACCCCTCCCCAAATTTCGCTCATACCTTTTGGTTTGATTGAGTTCTATGTACACAGAGAATTGAGCCCCTTGAGCTCTCTTCCCGGCCCCCTCTCTGTGCAGTGTAATTAACATAACACTGTCTATGTGTGATGAGAACGTGTGTAACTGTACATCGTATATTACACGGTGTAAAGTTTCTTATTGCTTATTAATACATTACACTGCGTTTTGTAGAGGGTATTGTCTTTGGCTAATTGGTTTATCATTGGGGGGAGTCTAGTTCTTGTGTATGGGAAATTTGTTGAAACCTTGTTCTAAGATGAAACTGGGGTCTGAGCCCAAACTGCACCCTAACTTACTTCTTGCTACACTCTACAGTGACGCAGTATGGGAGAAAGACGGTTACTATGATGACCTGTATGTGGAACACTGGAGATGTGATGTTCCTATCTGTTTACATCCTGACGGGAGAAAGGGTGACAGTCGCAACAAGTAAGCAAAACTTATCAAAGAACTGACTATAACTACAATCTTCAATCAGTGTCTGAACTTTTACATTTTAATTTGGATTTAATTATAGAGGACAACTCAATTAACTTCTAGACCTGTTGTACTCATAATACCTGGTGTAATCTATATAATTACCATTATCAGGATATAATTAATTGCAATACCTTATAAATACTCTCCTCCCAGTGATAAGTGGGATCTGATGAAGTGTGTCACGTGTGGACAAGCTGGAGCTCACCCTTACTGTCTGGGACACGAGAAACGTGGCCCTAAAGATTGGAGCTGTGGTACTTGCGTTACTATTGAGGTGAGTCAGTCAATGTCAAGTTAGCTTGAACAGTCATTTTATGGCTTAACGTTTAAGTTTCATATCCCGCGGATATCGAGTAGATTATCTACAAGATTCGAGATCATGTACCTGTACAAATTTATGTATTTTTACTTTTCTCTCAGTCTAAGTATGCAGCAGAAAGGCTTGAAGAAGAAAAAAAGAAGCCTGCAGAACCAGCAAAAAGGACAAAGAACTTATCTCTGGACCAGGAAGCGGCTGGTCCCAGTAATGTGAACAGCTCGACTGGTAGGTTAAGGGCACAAATTTGGCTATGAGCTTTAACTTTCACCTTCACCTCCAGTTTCACTTTCACATACGTTATGAGTTTCAGAGCCTGCGCTTTCTGCTGATTACTTTTATTAGCTTTGTTAGATTTAACCCGAAATATTTATTTTGATTCTTTTTAAGCAAGTTGGCAGAAACAATGTGTTCAGTTCGGCCTGTAAAATGGGAACCTAGCAAAATGTTCAGATCTCAGATAGACTTTTTATCAGTGATTTGTGCCCTCCCGATTGCAAGCATGATACACGATTTATTCTATGTGTATTACTGTATAATTACACATTCCGCATCTCATTAACTATTTACGGTAATTCACTCACTATTATAATATAACCAGGTAGCACCACCTCAAAATTAGACAGCTTCCGGCGTCCAAGAGGCAAAAACCTGACAACTGATCAAATCGCCGTTTTGGAGAAGTACTATCAGAAAGCAAAATTTGTCGATACAGCCATGATGGAAAGGATTGAAGCAGAGTCAGGAAATGAAATCCTTCTGAGCAGTGCTGAATCCTGGTTTTCTAAGCAGAGGAAAAAGGAATTTCATAAAACTGGTAGGAAGTCGAAAAAAAAGGGAAATCAATAAAACTAGCTTAAATAACCTAACTTATATCGGCATATTCTGAACTTCACTGAATTTTGGATACGCTCCTTCGTTTCTATGGATATTGCCTCCAAATTGCTTGCTCTTTTAATGAAAAAGATAGGTCACAAACCTTTTTGTCATAGGGATAGCGATTAAAAGGGATAAAAAACCGAAATCAGAAAGGGAGGTCCAAGTTCTTGAAGAGTATTACCAACAAAATCATTTCCTTGAACCAGAAACAATGAAAGAGATTCTTACGAAACTTGACATTCCTGTTTACAGTTTAAAGTCTTGGTTTCAAACTCGCAGAACGAAGGATTACAAAGCCATGAGTACGTACATTTTTGTATTCTTCTCATACCTCAAAGGAGACCATCGCCTCCATCGATTCTCTAAAAACTAAGCATGATATCCAAATGAAGTTGTTTTTAAGGAGCCTAAGTCTTTCCAATTTTGACTGATGTTTTTGCAGATGGGAAGTGTGTCTACCAATCTAAATGGTCCCTTTCCTTGGACCCTGAAAGATGTAAACGAAAATTCTCCTGGGCAAAATCGGGAAATTATGGTCCAACTAAAAATATAATCAGTCAGAATGAGGCTCCTTCTTTAAACTATTCTCCTCAACAAACGGACACTTCAGAATCAGATACCAGTACAGGTACTAGTTTATGTCTCAGTGTCTCGTGCGCCAAAATTAAACTTCAAGTTTTCAGGTTGAAGTTTATGAAGATGTGTTCCACAGTAGAACTTCCACTTCCATCACACACTCATGAATTTGTCGCTGGTAGCCTTCAGGCTTTCGATACTAGACTATGTTAGAAAAGACAAAATTGTGGGTTCATTGGTTCCTCTTAACTGAAGCTTCTCGGTCGACTTAATTTAATCTGTAGCGCTGTTTATTCTTGTCACGAAAATGCATGTTATTTCTTCCCCCGGGCCTGATTAGTTAAATATCACAACTTTTCATTTGGCTACAAAACTGTCTTATCACACTTGCACACATCACACTTGCACACATCACACTTGCACACATCACACTTGCACACATCACTGCACTTGAAGACTGTACTTCATCCTCCTCAGTAACTGGTTTTACAGTCCCTGGAAGTAAATCTGTAGTAAATTACTCCTACTACGGCCAGCTGGAGTTTACACCTGATCAGTTAGCTGTTTTGGAAAAGTACTACCAGAGGGAAAAGTTCGTTAACCCGGACTATGTTGAAAGTATGATATCAGAAACAGGTTCTTTTAGGAGCCATATAGAGGCTTGGTTTGCGGCGATGAGAAAAGATGAATCTCTTCAAACTGGTAGGAAATAGCAATAATTTGAGGAGTGCTGCAATCAATGAATCTCACAAGCTTGTGGCATTGAGAACCCCATTATGTTTTTCTAGGATTTGAGAATTCTTTCGTACATTGCAATCGACATTCTATTTTTAAACGTTAAAAAGCCAAATTTCAAAACTTACGTAGGGACAACGTTGAAAAGGATTCGCAAAAAGATTCCAGAGAGTAGTATCAAAATTATGGAACAGCATTATCAAGAGAATCCTTATCCCTCTCCGGAGACAAAAAAGGAAATCCTCGAGAAAACTGGCATCCCAGACTATAGTCTTAAAGGGTGGTTTAAGAAAAAGAGACGCATGGATAGCAAACGAAAGGGTTCCAATGCATGAGTACGTACTCTTGTCAAAATGCTTGTATTCTTTTCATACTTCATCAATAGCTGTCCTCCTATATTCTTACAATGAACTTGATATCTGATTGGTGACATTCATGACATGAGATATAAATCCAAACATTGTTTTAGCAGAAGAAGATTGGCACTCAGATTCTTCTATCCACATTGAACCTACTAGACGTAAGACCTGGTCGAAAAAGAGAAGTTCAAATGACCACAATCCTGGCCTTTCTCCTGAAACGGAATCTCCTAATAAACCAGAATCTGAAACTAGTACAGGTACACATTTGTGTTTCACCAAATCATTGAGTAGTCGACCGAGAGCCTTCGAAAGATACCATACCAAGGTTCACTTGGAAAGCCTCATTTTACAGTACAGCTTCTGAGCTTCCTGGTCGACTTCATTTTATCATCCACACAGTCACCCTCGCTAGAGTTCCACACCTCACTTCCACTCAGGCACCTTCATCTGATGACGTATATCACGTGATCATATTGTATAGCCCATATATGTTGCTGGAACCCCCGCAGATTTGCGCAATTCACTTGTACATATTTAATTAAAATGCTCATTGCTCGCTGCCAATGCTTAAAATCATCCTAATTCCGCGGATTCTTCTCAGCGTGTTTTTATTTGAAAACTGATAACTTGCATTCCTGAAACATCTTAATTAAAAAAAGGTTTTAATGTTTCTTTGTTAGTGACAATTATTCGTACCTCAATGTATTTCTTATAACATGTACCTTTTTTTAGTAAATACTTCGTTTATTCCACTGTGCTGTTTGTTTTTTTATGTGCTGACATTGCAAGTGCTGAGCTGATAAATGTTTTCTCGCTTTTTATTTGAATAATTGTTAAATTAATAATTCCATTAATTAACTTCTTGATTAATCAATTACATTCCCAGGCTGCAGCCGCAACAGATCAGGAAGCTCCTCAAGTAAGCGACATAGAAAGAAAACTTTGAGCCCCTCAAAAGACCCCTTCCTGATGACACCGGAGACGTTGAAAGAAGCAGTGTTCAAATTGTGTGTTGCAAAGCTGAAAAAGGACAAGCTCATTTCAAAGAATCTGGATCCTGATATTTGGATAGGTAATTTTAGTTTTAAACTTCAAATTTTGTGTTTCTTCTGTATGTACTTAATAACTTCCGCATGTGTGTATACTATTAAATAACGGGCTCTCAAAAAAGAGTCGAGAGTCCCTTTAAACAATAATTTTCTAAAACTACATTCAGGTTTGGACCCCGTCCCATCTGTAGCAAGTGATCCAGATTACGATACAGAGTCTGAAAACACTGTGCCTGATCCCCGTCTAGCAACCCTCTCAATTCGACCTTTTAACCTTCTACTTACCAAACTCAAATATACTCCTCCTCAAGCTGGTTGGTTCTTTGCAACATCACTATTTCGGCACACTGACACCTGCATCGCCAATCACCATCTTTCCGCTTGGCTGATATTTTCAGAGTTTGACTAGAATTTTCACCCCTAACCATATGATTTAAGAACCCAACGTAGTGTTATTATATTATGTGCGCTTTGTATAACGTTGTTAACTTTTTTTAATTTTCAGAAACTGTTGTTGAAGATGAAGAGGTCGAGCCGTATAATGAACACAAGGAAAAATTGTGGGAGTATATAGTAAAGCATAGGAAAAACAAATCGTTAATCCGGAAGGTGACCAAGACAAGCCGTCCGAGTTTTAAACCAAAGGGAGAGCAGACCAAACTGAACAGCTTCTTTAAACTTACCACTTTAAACAAGAGAAACGACAGGGACAAGTATGAAGTTACCTTTACCTTTACCTTGTTTAGCTGTTGATTCTTCTACTTAAAAATTGATTTTACGTTTTCGCCATGTCATCAAATCTAAACCTCTCAATACATGAAGATTGCAAAGCTCGAATCCTCTAATTTTGTTTCTAATTTTGTTTCCCTTCAGCTATACTGCACGTGCTAAGCGTCGTAAAATTGAAACGAGCGACGAAGCGAACACAAAGAAATCGAAAGTAACACAAGAAAACGAGTACGAACCGTTTCCGTTCAAGAGATCACCCTACCAGACCCCCCATCCTTCTCGGGAACAAACACCAGAGTCCTTCCCTCTCTCATCATCACCTACTAAACCAGAGAATATTCCAGAACCATTACCTCCCAAAACACTATCCGTTGAGTCTCCTATTAAAAAGGAGCTGGAATCAGAAGGAACTCCAGAAAAACACGAATCTCCTCCAAAAGTCAGCGCTTCTCCATCCACAGTCTACAGGTGTTACTACTGCGAGGACAAGTTCTCTAAGATGTCAATCAGGATGGATCACATGAGAAATGTTCATTCTAACCGAGTAAAAGGGTGGGATGGCACTAAAACTGGAAGAGGTAAATTATTTTATAGATATCTCAATTGAGTCCTTTAGAATCCCTTTTCCAACATGAAATTGTTCTGTTTTATTCGTGCTGAGTCTAGTATAGGGAAGTTGATTTTATAAATCTAACTTGATGTATTTCCTTAGGGACACAGAGAAGTACAAGCTCAGAAATAGTTGATATTGAACCTGAGTTAAAGGATGAAGAAGATGAGGAAGATGATGAAGATGAGGTTGAGGTGATTTTCACCGGTCAGAGTCCTGTTAAGAATAACACTTCCCTACGTCGGACAGCCAGAAAAACATCCTCAGCTGCCAGTTTCAAACCAATGCCAACAAGAGAGTCATCCTCTGATGCCTCTATGTCACCCAGGAAAACGAGAAAATCGACTTCAGGAATCTCAGAAATAAAAGAACTGAAAACTAATTCCTCTAAACCAAGAGGAAGGCCTAGAAAATCATTAGTCTCAGAAATAAAAGAAGAACTTAAATCTGTTTCCCCTAAGCCCAGAGGAAGACCAAGAAAAACATCTCCGGGGATCTCAGAAATAAATAAAGAACTTAAAACCGATCCACCTAAAGCCAGAGGAAGGCCGAGAAAGCGGGGTAAAAAGAAAGCGCCCAAGTGCGACGATGAAAATTATGACGAGTTGACGATTGAGGTGTCTGAGAGAAAGGAAGAGACAGAAGAGTCGGCGGATGAAGAGGTTGAATTTCTGGAGACGATATTTGCTGTGTCACCAAAAGCTGAAGAGAAAAAGAGAAGGAAGAAGGGTTATGATTGGTCGGAGAATGAAGTCTTTTCCTTGATAGGTAAGTTAAATAAGTTAATAGTCTCTGGTCTAGTTGCCTTGATACGATGTTTCTGTAAGCAAGAAGTAGCGTGTTCAGAATAGTTGACAAATAATAATTGAGACGATTTAAGAGCACATCCGTTACTCAGAAAAAGGGAGACTTAATTATTAACTTAACTTAAAATTATTTTTTATTCCGTACCGTCTTTCAGAATTTTACTCATTGAACCCGTACTTGTGGGACGATTCCTGTAAATATGAGAGTAACGAGGACAAGCTAATACAGAGACTGGAAAGAAAATTAGATATTCCTGGTGAGTCAGCTGAACAATCCCACGTGATATTTGAAATCTTGTATAGATAATTACAGCTCGAACGTTTAAAAGTTTCATCAGTTTTGTGTGCCAAAATTTACATACAAGTCTCATCCTGAAATAATAAAATGTTACCCTCTCCTTCGCCTCCAGTTGATCGGATTACCTCCAAATGGAAGAGTCTAATGTCACGGTACAAGGTAGAGAAATACAACTCAGGCTCAGACTGGAGGTATTTGTCTTCTCTTAACTTTCTGGAGGAGGTCAACTTGACTTCATGTCCGGAGGATGTGTCTCCGCTCTTTTCTCTTCTTACTGGCGCTGATAGTCAAAATGAGGACGACAAGTGCGTGTATTTTCAGTTTCTTAGTTATTGTCCCAAAATGTTTCGATGCTTTTTTAATTGAATTTCAACATTTTCTGGCAATTTGTCTCCCGTTATGAGACCAACTTAACTGATAAAATTTATTTTATTTTTTTGCATCCTCACAAAAATACTTCAAAACCTAGTGAAGCATCAGACGAACATGACAACTCCATGAACGAGTCAAAAGACATCTTTCCTAATCTCTCCGATAATGACGTTATAGAAGACGACGACAACGAGAGCAAATCTTCTGACACGGCAGCTTATTCCACTCCATTCCCTGATGAGGAAAGTTCCACCTCAGTCTCGTATGTAGAAGAACCTAGTTCAACATTATTACCAGAGGAAGATAATGTTCAACCCCTGAAAATATCAAACTCTTTCAAGTCAAGGAAGGTTGCCAGCAGCCCTGCTAAAGTCACGTGTATTGAAGAGGATATGCTTAGTCCAGTGAAGAGTAGTCCTGCTAACATAGTGTCACCGTCTGGCGAGGGTGAGCTTTTGTAATTTAAACTATTGTATAGTATGAATACAAGTTTTTAAGTTGAGTTAGTTAGTTAGTACATAATCAGTAATCACAGTTAACACCGGTCAAACCATAACTAGTTTGTCTTTGAAGTCCTTTATTTTGTGTCCTAACTAAACCGTTAATCATTGGTTTCACGTTAAAATAAATCTTAACGTTTTCAGAATCGTGCCGATGCGAGGAATGCGAGAGTTTCTTCTCAACCCGAGGTAAACTGATGCAACACAAACTTAAACTGAGGTACTTTTGCTGTCACTGTTCCAAGAACTTCACCAGTGTTTTTTCTCTAAAACAACACCAGGACAATGTTGATGTCTCAATGCACGTGTGTCCCTTCTGCAAGATGTTCCGAAACGTACGTGACTTTTCACACTTTATTAATTGTTCTTGAAATTTCTGGTCCGAATTTGGTATTTATGTTTTACCAATATCTAGAATTAGTGGTTTGTTAGATCAATTTATGGAAACTAAATAATGATCCCTCTATCCACCCTTTTCCTCCAGTTTGTATTATATAACAATTTATCCATCAGGAGGAATCAAAACACACTGTCCGGCACATCAGTGAGAATCACGTCAAACAATGGATTTCTACAGAGTGTCTTAAATGTAAAGCTCTCTTCAAAAACAAGGAGAAAACTTTAGCTCACATTCGGCAGAAACACTCAGTAGCAGCCTCAGATTGTGAGGACTTTATTAGGGTTCGAGACTTTCGGTGTCTCTACGATAAAGACTGTTGAAATTTTAATTTTTATACTTTCATGATATCATTTTAATTTTACTTGTACAACTTTATTCTGCCTATTAATTTATCATGGTTAGTTATTATCACATTTCACTTTTTAACTGAAGTTAGTAGGCATGTTTGGTGGGTTTATTATTGCAAGACTCTTAAGTTATGCGCTAATCTTGAACTTATATTATTTTTAGACGTATCCTGCAAAAGTCTGTTATTGTTGGATCATTAAAATGTAACCTTTTTCATAAAGAAAACTGTAGTTACTCCGATTGCCAATTATAATTAGAAACATGTATTCGCCGATCATAGAAGTTGACAAGCACAGCAGCTGCTCGTGCATCAAAATAATACAACTTTTCAACATGTTCTTGCTAATGTCTGCCAATTTTTATGTACTTCTGGATTACGCCGGGAAAATAATATTGTAGCAACAAGTTCTTTTTAGACGGATGACCGCGAATTACGCGACGCGCGCGCACGCACACGATTTCCGAAGCGATAAAACACTTTTGGCAGTGTAATGTAATTAATTAAATACTCCGACTTCACAGTTATGTCTGAAGTTTCATTTACACTGGTCGTGGGAGAAGACATCAAGTCGACATGCCAGTTTGATGGTTCCATGAAGGGACTATCTGGAGCGATACAGTCCGTCAAGACCCAGATCAACACTATTATCAGCAACAAGATTACATCCAATGGGGCTGATGCCATAAAGTCAGGTAAGTCGTACTGCTTCAATGGGGATTGTTGCAGTTAACTACATGAACAGCTAGTTATCCGCTTCATGGACTCTTCCATGAGGCAATGCCTTGAAGACACTCTTACTTCTATTGTATAGTTTGGTGTGCAATCGTACATGTAACATTTCACACAGAAAATAGAAAACCTCTTGCAGTTTAAATTCTTAATTGGAGAGAGTGGTGATTATAAAAATTCTGTCCACTTCTCTCAATATGGTTACAAAGCCTTGCTGACAGTTTTTATACGTGGCCATTTAAATGCATAAAGACTGATAATATCATATTTCAGAAACAATAGAAGAGGGTGATATCGCAGAGGACAGTTCTGAGGATGAAGAGAATGATAACAAAAGATGTAAGACAGATTCCTGACCGGTCGCAGACAAAATTTAAGAGGTATGCAGAAGGGCTGAATGAATGATTTTTATTAGAAGAAAAAATAAACACCTAGTTGAGGAAAATTTGTGCACAGTAATAACTAATGAAATACATATTATGTATTCGGGGAGTTTTTCCAGCTAATGGGCTACGTAATTTAACAGTTTAAAAGTACACTTAATTAATGACATGACCGCTCACTTCATCGGAATCGGTCAACATATCAGTTCTCCATTCGGTACTTTATGCTAAAAGCAGTGAATGGGGTATCGGATGACTTTTAATGAAATTCTGTTGCTCCTAGCAACGGAATTCACAAACACTCTTTCCCATAATACAGAGCTGGAGCCATTGATTTTGTGTTGTTTTGTCTTTATTCGAATTGTTTTTGCCCAAAATTACAGGAAGAATTAATCTTTGTAAAAATGTATTTAATAAATTTTGAATTAAATATTCAAAATTTATGTCCAAGCTATCAGTTTAATCGCTTGTTAAAGATTTGATATCACATTGAACTGCGGAAGTGGGAAAACGACATTCCATGGCTAGCTACAACATGCCATGGGTCATACTGCATACATGTAGATAGAGTCAGACTTGACCAAACGGTATATACTGTATAATTCTGAAATAAACGCCCTAGTTCATGTTTGCTAGCTGCTAATGCCACCTATATATTATAGGTGCATATTTATTCCTCATGCGTTCGATAAGATTAGATCGCAGTTCAATAACATATGTCATAGTGTTCTAAGGGAGCATGTTTAAGTTCATAATATTATTGTGTGAAGTGGCAGTGAACTTTTTATTATCAGTCCAGTTTAGTAGTAAGTTGGTTGAGTTGCAGGGTGTGCGTTGACTTAAATTGCGGTACTCGAGTGTGCGTCATATATATATTCGTTGCCATATATGTTCAGTTACTATCGTCATTAATTGTGCTTTTGAACTAGATAAAAAAGCTTTTAACATTTGATCCCGCTACAACAATGAACATCGAATATATAACTTTCATCATGCTGATAAAATATTACGAATATTTCTGTATTATACACCCTATACATCTCTAACCCGACTCTTACTCAGATGGAGTTGCTGCTGAAAGCGCAAATGCTGTACAGGAGGGAGAGTACAACCAAGAGAGACTACATAGCCCACAATGTATCCGCACCCAGCAAACCAGTCTCTCTCCATCACAAACCCTCAACTCTCTACACCGCCGTCCGCCACACTCCTGAACCTCCTACCTGCCGGAAACCCATCGTCAGACAACCCCTGGTTACCCTACCTTCGTTTCAGAGGGAGCTGGTGGCCCTGAACGGGGGACGGTACAGGATACAGGCCACACCCCCATCCAGTGCAGTTGGTACTAGTGCGCAACAATGGGAGGTGAAGCACGACGAGGAGAGGCATCAGGAGGAACAGGGTGAGGATATTGGCAGAGAGAAACGGGCTGCTTTCAACAGACCACTACTTAGATCCATGTGAAAGGAGCTGTCATAGATTAAAGCAATGACTTTATTTAAAGAAGCAAGGCCAAGAGGGAACTGGGGGAAGATGTGATTATGGTTTCCATAGTAACGGGAAGGACACTGCACCATCTCACGTCTCATACCTCCGTGAATTATGTGAAGATAACGGTTGCGTCTGTATCATCGGCCTCCTTATCCACCAGGGGTTTCTGGGTTTGAAATTTAGTAGTTACTGTTTCAATAGCATACTTATAAGAACATAAAAGGGTATGTTTAATTGTTTTTCTTCTGTTTGACACGCTAAAACCCGTATCAATCATTGTAGTCGAGTAGTCGAGTACTTATTTACCTCTTAACACAATAAGTTAATGATGCGTCCTTTCCTTCCCTTTTCTACAAGATTTGGAGAATTTGATTTCGTTCTTATTAAAATGAATGATGCTTCTATTCCTTTTAAAATTATAAAAGTTTTAAAAACTTGAAATTATACCATGTAATCCAGTTTTATTAATTTTTGTTGTGAACAAAATGATATGAGCTTTTAATTTGGTAATCAACGTTAAATTAATATGATTAAAATATACATACAATCTTTATTAAAAATATCAAATGTAAGGTACAAAACATAGACATTAGACAGACTCCTTGATCAAAATGCAATAAGATCGCAGCTCAGCAGAAACATTATTTTTGTCACTAGGTTTTCCAATTTGTTAAAGAAAGTCTGGGATGCACAAGACATAAAAATATTTCAAAGCTACGAAACATAAGTTTACGGTAAAATATCAACATGTTTAATACATTTATTATATAGATCAAGTTCCTCTGAGTCTGAATCAATCGGCTATAATGGAACTTTCCCTTCGCAACAAAACTACTCCAATTCTCTGCACTGTCCAGCTGACTTTACAGCTTCTGTCATAAGTCATCATTGTTTGCAAGCTACCCTTTGCAACCATCAGAGTTTATCCTCTGCAACACAGGAAACATCAAAACATCCACTCATTCTGGCTTGACATACTTAGAAGCGTTCTGTGCAACGTTCATAAAGTCCTCCAAATCTTTCATTAAGATCTGTTCAGCTGACCATGTCATTTTAGAGGTACCCGCCTCGTCGTACGCAGCAAGTACGTTCTGGTTGAATGCTCCCTCCCATACTTTACTGCAAACCTGAGAGTAGAGCCCGTTATACAAGGGAAATCGTGGAATGATAAGCTGCCTAAAATTATTCACTTTCGTGCAAACTGTAAGTTTCGAATCCACAAACCCAACGCCCTTAACAACGTCGTAATATGAACTAACCTCTATTTTGGTGTAAGGAGTGGACTCGAACTTTACCAACGAAGTGTCTCTAGAAATACTGTCTCTAGTTATACTCCCCCTGGTTACGCTTGATATCACTATCTTTATACTTCCGATGCCTATCACCGTCTCTGCAATCTGTTAACAAAATATATCAACTTTGTTTATTATTTACTAAGATAAATTGCTGATTAGCCGGTCTGAAGGTTTGACTCGAGACATATCCACAATATCAAAGATACGATTGAAACTGCATAACATAAGGTACTAAAGTTGTTTGACTATCTCTACAAGCTTATCTCACCTTGTTGACGCTGATAATGGTCTGGTTCTGTTCACATTCGAATGCTACAGCAGGGTTGCCGGGTACGCTCTCGTCTGGCATTACTTGTAGTCTCTCAACAAACGTGCTGTGAACAACAATATGTTAATCTTGATATTATAGTGAGGAGCATTAACTTCAGCTATTATTATCTGAGAAATAGCCTCATGTCATGATGAGAAACTTGTTCTGAAGTCTAGTTAAACAAATGGAGCGTACCTGAAGTTTTCGTGAGGTATGACATGAGCACACTCGACCCTTATCTGCAGATCTACTTTACGGTCCACGCACGCTACGTTCGCACAGAACCGCTCTGTTCGGTTCGGATTCAGGTCTCCTGACTTTGTAAACTCCTGAAATATTAAAATTGTTTTTATTTCTAGCAAATACTGTTTTAATAAAATAGACCGCGAAAAGTTTACGATTATTAAAGAAGTTTGATGGCAACGTGGTTATAGATCATTACTCATTTATGTTTTGTAATCTTGAGTAATTGGCATGAACAAAAACCTTATGTTTCTTTTCGCTGCTGACGATGTGAACGATCTCGAATCTATGATCCCCAGCCGCTTCGTCTTCAACAGTGTGCTTCACATGGACTACCACATTCCTACACTTGTTCTTGTCTTTTGGTGTTTTGTCTATCATTGCGAACTGGGAGATAAAATATTTTTGGGGTTGCATGAAACTCTACCAGTTCGGCATTGCAACCTACATGTAAATTAAACGACCACGAAAAGCCATCTATTCACAGTACTGTTAATTCATTTTCGTTTTTTAACACAACTGAGACGGAAAATATTTTGTTAACCTCTTGGAACTATTTGCAATACCTCATATTTCATGTTACATTCTTCAAGATTACCCCCAAGTTTATCTGATATGTTTTCTTCCATCAAATCACACCTGAATGCAAAAAAGTAAGCTTCATTTACAATGCACGTATATTGTATAATACAATTATGAAAATAAGGGGTGAATATGTATTGTTTTTTTCATTACGTGTAATATCCGGATAGGAAAATTATTTATGAGTCGCATTGTTGTGATGCTTATTTTCATTACCTTGGACTGAAGATAGTTCGTAGGTTGAAAAGCATCGATTGGTAAGCAAACTCCTCTATGCTCCAACACACTGACGAAACATCTTCACTCAAATCTAGGAACAATATCTTTCCGTACCTAAAATATAATATGCTTATTAACTTCATAATATAAGGTTCAAATATGCTTTAAATCACCGTTTAATTGTGATTGTGACAATGAATTTGACCAATGCAATCACAACAAATTGAACAAACTATCTGGTGAGTTATTTTATAGTCCACGGCTACAAATAACCACACTATACACAAATTTGAAAAGTGCGTGTAAAACTACTCTTCAGATTGAATTGTAGTAATTGCATTTCCTTCAACCTGTTGTGTGATGTTGATCTTCACAGTGATTTCAACATGTGCGCTTGCAAAAGAATTGCCTGCAAAATTTCAATAATTTGGTAAACAGCGCTCATTTTGACAGACTAAAACCTTCGCGCGTTACAAATTATACATGTTGTGATGGTCCATTTTAGAGGTTACCACAAACCACATAAACGCACGCATGGCAAGCAGTCCTGTTTATTATAATTAATGTAGAATTTCGAATGACAGTTACATACATCACGTACAACAACCCCAACCGCTAATTGTGGTAGCAAAATGCCACAGTGGCGTAAGTTAAAAACCAGCGTTTTGGACATCATTTTTGTCTTGATTGGCAAATTTAAGTTAAGAAAATGGGTATAAAATAATTATTACAATCGTCAATACTTACGATCCCTTTAGACTGATCATTCCTTTGTGGGGCCGAACTTCGTTGAGGAAATGAAAGAGGGACTGTTGGATAAACTCCGTGTTGGTTTGCAACAGGGAACCCCTGCAGGAATTAAGTCACGCAATTAAGTCATGTAATTGAGCCTATATTAGCCAAATCAAACACGAACCCACAAAACAGTTACAGCCCGATAACCTAATATACCAGTGCTACTATACTACTATACTACTCAATATACAGCAGTACTACATTCTACATTCACTCAATAAGCAATAATGGAGGCGGGAATTTTAGCTGACGAAGGTTCACACTTACAAGGGTCTAGCTTGCTGCAACGCTCCGTCTGATTCAGCGTACGGTTCTAAGAGACACAGCTTGTTGTCCTCAGTGTCCTCTAAAAACGCCTGTCCTTCCTCGATTCCTAGCACTCTGAAACAAGAAAATTAGAATGTTTTGATGAACGATATCTTACAATGTGCTTTATACAGGCACTAATGAGGCACATTAACATTCCGATACAATATTGTGTTTCTACGATATCTAGTTATTGTAGACTGGATATTATCACGTAGACACAGAGAAATCATACAAGAACAGTGGGTACATGTAATACGAGTGTGGGTGTGTATCAGTTTACATGTAATGTTCATGCTTGTTACAATGTTCCCTCTGTAGCAAGACTGTGTCCTACACCTCAAAGTGACAAACTTGACAATTGTGTACGATTATAATAATACACTGACAAACGTGTATTATTATGAGTAATATAACAGAGTAATATAAAACTTGAATAACACGTACTTGGCGTGTCGGCCTGTAGCAAGGGGAGGGATGTAGCCGAAGTCTTTGTCCATGAAGACCACGGTGGCTGTACGGGGTACGTTACCGTTTATTTGGAGATGTGAGCTGGCTGTCGGGAATAACTGAGGAGGAGGGGACTTGTTAGTTAGGGTGAGAAGATAAATTTTATTAAGAGAAAGAATGGGAAATAGTCGAATTATAAAATACAGATGCTTTTTGGAAAGAGAGGACGATGGAACACGGAATCTGAGTCTACATTTAGCTGTTAGTTATCATATTAATCAAGATATTCTGATTTCTTTAAAGGATGAGGGGACCTTAGAAAAAGTTTTTTTCTCGTGCAAATCCTTTTATTACATTAATCGTGTAAACCACTTTAGTGAAATCCGCAAAGTTGTATTTCATTCGCGCGCCGAGATATCCAGCCAAAACAATTTGAACCTGTGACGTCAATTATGTGAGTTGCTCTGATCCGCGCATATAGAAATACAGGTAAAATGAGCGTGCGGGCCGACTAAATTACTAATTAAGAATACATTAACAATTTACGATACTAACGAGCCTATAACCAATGGAGAGGAGACTTTTTATGACCGGTTGAAAAAAGAATTATCACCCTACGATAACCATGAGCCGAGATACAACTGAAATAAGATTGAAGTCACACAGAAAGGCATGTAAATTATGTATATTTATAGCTCCCAACGTAACACCTAGCAACTCCCTGTATCGTACCACAGTTGATATATCAAAATGTCATATCAACACAACACGGTCCTAATAAAAATGGATCGGGTAGGTATGAAATGCATGTCTTCATCCAGTTGGACAAGCACCAAGCACCAAGCTTTTAAGTTCTAAATCACTATGTGACACTACTTATAACGTAAGCAAGATTTGCAACTATTACACCAAGCAATATTATACGTAGCAGACGAACACATCCACATTCGTTACGCTTTACACTCAAGTCACAGCAAACTAAAACGGTAAATTATAAATGAGTGTACAACTAAAGGCCGGTACACGCGCTGTGTCAAACCGCACGTGCGCACTCAGATAGGACTAGAGGCGCCAAGGGCCAGCTAGTAAAATGTCTTCTACTACATCATACATTCAATCTAAACATATATTAAGTGGGTCGGTCAACATATCTTCTATTTCATATGTATTGTGCTCTGCCAATTGCAACACTTGATTTGATTGTGCTCTGCCGATTGCAACACTTGATTTTATATTGTTAATCGCACATTTCATATGAAAATACATTCCTATATTCTTGTATAACGAAATATGCCGATTTTTAATTGTGTCCATATCGGGTTTCAAACAAGTCAAAACAAAATAGCAGTTTGTGGTTTAGTTAGCGGATGCTACTTATCTTAGCTATTTATAAATAGAAATACCTACTACAACTACAAGTAAGCCTTTCTGAGTTACATTTAACTATTAAAGAGAATTATTCGTAACTTAGACTAATTCAGTGCAACCAAAGATACCGCTCTCGCAAACGCCAAAGGTAACACGACGTAATTAAAACAGAACAGAACCAAGAACAAAATGTTGACACGAGCGAAGTGTGCGCGCACACGTTGGTCTTAACACATAATTGACGTCACAGCCCAAAATTGCTATCAGCCAATAGGAGCGCGGCGTGATATTGCACGAATTATCGATTTCACAGTCCGGCGTATTTTTTGATCCTACACACTTTCACAGGACTTAAACGCGAATATTTGGAAGTGAATTCTAAGGTCCCCTCATCCTTTAAATGTTGTTGAATGTTAAATGTTGAAAATGAGGAACTTTATGATAGACACTGATCTTATCTGATCTTATCAACTTTGATATTATCTGAGTGCACTAACGTTGCCGCAGAGTTCTTTGAGCATCTTTTTAGCGAACTCTCTAGAGGGCCGATCTTGTCCTGCTATCATGACGGTCTGAAATTGTAAGAAATTTTATTAAACGTCACAAAATGTATATAACTTTTGTATCTGTAAGGTCATTATACAGTCAGCAACTGCTGAGTTATGCAGAATTACATAATACATCATCATCAGTTTATATCATAAGTGAAAGTGGTTGTTGAGTAGTGAGTACCCTTAAAAAGTGACCTTAAAGTGACGTAACTTTCAGTATACAATCTATACATGTCCCTCCTCAAAAACTTGAATACCAACAACTTTAGGTAATTTAGAAAACCATTAACAAAACTTGGTTCAATGTATCGATTGAACTAGCGCTGTATATATTGCAGAATGTGTGTTAATTTGACACGTGACAACATACCTTATGAGACCCCTTTGGCCGGAGAAAAGTGCCTGTTTTCTCCTCAATCTTCTTCAGGTTTCTACAGTTGTGACCCACCAAGAAAGACATGTTCACAACTTGGGGAACGTAGAACTCTGACACGTCCTTTTCTTCCTGAAAAGTGGAAATCGTTATTTTACGTACCTTACAAGACATTTTTGTGGCGGACCAATTTGCGACGACCGAAATTTTGGCGGTCCGAAAATATGGCGAAATTGAACAAAAACCGTCACATTTCGGACGTCACAGAAAATAAGGGTATTTTTCATCATTTTGTTTTCTGATACAAAGCTAAAGGAAATTCAAACTTTTCTAAAAATCGGTAAAATCATGTTGAAACAAAATGAAACTTATAAATCGATTTCTTCATCTCCCTCTAAGGGGTCCGGCTCGACTCTTTCAGTTTCACTTATTGAGTTTGGTATTAAATTGTTTATCTTGACTTAGTCTCTTATAAGACGTTTATGTTAGCACATAAATGTAATTTATTGTAAATTTAAAACGTATTACTTGACATTAAATTCATCATGGAATATTGTGTTTATTTGTCCCACCATCATATCACTAACTTTTCAAGAACAAAATGAATCGATGAAGCCACAATTATTGGAATAAGCTAAAAATAATGCGACGGATTCTATTACGACGACCGAAATTTTGGCGGTCCGAAAATATGGCGAAATTTCGGGAAAACCGTCGCATTTCGTACGTTATAAAAATGTCTTGTAAGGTAGAATAAACCAATCGATTGCCAGGATGAAGTTTACTCTCAGTGTTTCCCGAAAATTTCTAATAACTCTTTAGTTATGAGCTCCCATAATATCTACCGAATATGGATGGTCCAAGATCTTGATTTCCTCAGATCCTTTCTGGACTCCGCCCCGAAAAGGTTATAAATCATCCGCGAAAACAGGAGGCAACAATCAACATGAAAGTGCGGCAATTTTTTGTAAATAGTGCAATTCCGCACTTGCCCAAAACAAGGCAAAACATGTTCATACATGCGGCAAATTAGACAAAAACCGCAATAATAAGCTGAAAAATTCGCAGCCTTTAAGTTCTCTCAGGTTGGATTACTCAACAGCGTAGAATATAATGTTGCCTTACACGAATGTTTTTGTGAACACGACAATTAACTTACAAAGTGCCTTACGTAATGTCTTAAACTGAGTTTCCTCACAATTCAAAATGTATAAACCTAGAATTATCCTCATAGAAGGTTTTACAATTAGATAAGCAGGATGGCTGGGGCTTGTTGAGCTGGTGGTGAGCCGAATTGAAGTAAAGTATTCAATATTATAACTTTGCAATATAAGATTCCAACACATTGTGTGTATAAGTGACTAACGTGACCAAAATAAAGTGGCACAATTTCGATTTGTCGAAGGATTGCGATCCATCTTGATAAGTTGTTCGTTTGCCAAGATTCTTTTGTTTTCATTTAAACACCCCATTTAGGAACTGACCGGAATGGGCTTTTGGCTGCCGGACCGGGTTTTGCCGGATATCGATCTATTATCCGGTTAGCCGGATTTTGCCGGACCGGAACCGGTTGTTAGGAAGGGCAAATATAGTGTTGTCGGAACTTGCCGGACTGTGCCGGATCTTGCCGGAAAATTTAAATTGATCCTTATTATCGGGCTTTTGTCATTAATAATTATGATATTAATCCTTATATGCCATAGTTTGTAATTACAAAATAAGTGTAAGCTTATAAGACCAGGCCGATGATGTTTACTGTTTAGGCCTAGCAGTAGACATCTAGGTCAAATATTTGTTCATGTTTCATGCTACCATGATCATTATGAGCCGAAAATATTTTTTCGGCTTTCGAAATCCGCACCTACATTCGGAAGACTGTGGATGTGATTGTTTTCTAATCCCTATAGAAAACGTGATATTTGGCCAGCAGATTTGAAAGAAAATACGCGAATTTGGTCCTCAGATTTAAAGGAAAATGCGCGATTTGTCGCGCACAGATCCCAGGAGTCATTCCAGAGAGTTCCCAAAATTTCGGACGTCAGCAAAATCCACAATTACCACGTCTTGTTTACCACCTTTTTACCACATTGAGTTTCCGCAAATAAGTCAACTTCTGAATATCTTAGAAGATTCTAGTTTGAAGCAGTGTTGTTAGAAAACAAAAAAAAACAACTTTTTCTAAACAACTTTTTAATAAAGAAATTATCTAATTAATTAATTAAATGCACATTGAATCTCCGCTAATAAAACGACTTCTGAATCTGAATGTCGTAGAAGGTTCTAGATTTGATTGGGTAATCAATGATTACCTAATCGCCAATCGTGACAGGGTGCTAAGATACCGTAATTGGGCTTTCTGCACGATTCCCATAGTGGGGATCTAGTGCCAACCCAATCACCTGATTTAACGTAATGCTCCCGTCTTTTAGGACAAGTGTATTCTAAAGGCCTACCGACAGTTGCGCCCGTTTCCCACACCTTAACAGGCCATTAACAGGTTCCCACTTCCCAATCATAAGTGACGTGAATAAATTTTACTTTTATTATAATTGGAGGGATTTCAATATATCGCTTGGGCGCAACTGTCGTATCTGATCAAGCAGTTTTTTAATTGGTTTTGACAGGGGTGTAGGATGGGGGGCAGGGGGGCATCGCCCCCCATAAAATCTGGGCAAGGGGCCAAAAATGGCCAACTTTTTTATTTAGGTTTTTCTGAAAACCACTTTTCTCAACATTTCATGTTACCCTGTTCATTATTAGCCGAAAATATTTGTTGGTTTTTCAAAGTCCGCACCCACCCCTCGATATACAATTTTGGACTCAAGGCTTCCCCGGCCCTGGTAATGCAATCTCGGAAGGCAGGCCTCCCCTTTGCAACACGAGCTCGGAAACGGGAGCTCTCGATACGAGAGGTACGTTTATTATAAGCCGAAAATATTTTTTCGGTTTTTCAAAGTCTAGTGAAAAAAGTTTTGCTTTTTAGGGATTCGAGTTAAAATGTGACGAAAACTATGCATTTCAAGATTTTAGAAATACATTTTAAACAAAGAAATATCCGGCAAAAATCCGGCAAAATTTTTGAAACCGGAGCTGGAACCGGATATTGAAGCCGGATCCGGATTCAGCCGGATATCTGGTCGGTTCCTAACCCCATTATTAGTTTATTATTACAACTGTTGATATAGTATGCAACGATATTTACCCTGCTGAGTTGGACATTGTGATAACAATCTCTTGTAATTTTTCGACTACCTTACTAGATTTAGATATTGATATTTTGAATTTCCATTTTCTTACTAAATTATTTGATAAACGAAGAGATTTCAGTTTTAAAGTTGTACCTGTGTAACCTTCATAATATAGAGTATTAATTGTAGGTGAGCTATATAGGATAAGCAAATTCTCTTCAGTTGTTATTGACTTTATTCACCCTATTCATGATGTTAAATCATTGATAATAATTAGTAAACTGATTACCCAGAATTTTGAAAGGAATGTCTTCTCTAAATATCTTAAACTTTAAAGTATTTATTACTTTTATTACTGAAAAGGTTGCGACCATCAGACAAGCCATTGAGAAGGAAGGAAAAGATTCTGACAAAGACAAAGACAAAGACAAAGACAAAGACAAAGACAAAGATATAGACAAAGACAAAGACAAAGACAAAGACAAAGACAAAGACAAAGACAAAGACAAAGATATAGACAAAGACAAAGACATAGACAAAGACAAAGACAAAGACAAAGATATAGACAAAGACAAAGACAAAGACAAAGACAAAGACAAAGACAAAGATCATGTTCTTGATAAAGACTGCATCTTTGATAATTTCTCTGAGATAACAGCTGATGAACTCAAAGACCTGGTATCAAAGATGTCCAACAAGTTCTGCTGCTTGGATCCGATCCCAGCATTTCTCTTAAAAAACTGTGTTGATGAACTAACGCCTTTTTTACTCCACGTATTGAACTCATCCTTGAAGTCTGGAGTCTTTCCCTCGGATATGAAGAAAGCTGTCATTAAGCCGACTTTGAAAAAGGAAAATGCTGATGTTGATATTCTCAGTAACTATCGACCAGTCTCTAACCTCTCTGCCTTCTCTAAGATCCTAGAGAGAATTGTACTAAACCAGCTCAATGTCCATCTTACGAATCATAGCCTTTACTCAGAAGTCCAATCTGGATACCGCCCTAATCACAGCTGTGAAACATTACTTGTAAGAATGTGTGATGATCTTAACAAAGAAATTGAAGCTGGGAATGTTGTCATAGTTGTACTTCTTGACTTAAGTGCAGCATTTGATACCATTGACCACACAGTCTTATTGGAAAAGCTTATGAAAGACTATGGAATTACTGGAAGTGCGCTGCAATGGATAAAGTCCTACCTTGAGAAAAGACATTTCTGTGTCAAGATTGATGATACTCTTTCTTCTTTCTTGGAGCTTTTGTTTGGAGTTCCCCAGGGATCACTCTTGGGGCCTATTCTTTTCATCCTCTATATCAAAGCTCTCCAGAAAATTGCGGCCAAATATGGTCTTGATATACAGCTCTATGCAGATGATTCTCAACTGTACATCTCATTTCAACCAAACCGTGTGGTACAGTTCACTGATGTCCAAGACAGAACAAACAAATGTCTCGCAGAGATAAAAGCATGGATGGTGAAGAATTACATGAAACTGAATGAAAGTAAGACAGAACTATTGGTGTTAGGAAAGAGCCATATTCTAAAAAAGTGTGAACTCAGTGTCAGACTGCAATTTGGAAGCACTGAAATTCTACCTACGGAGTGCAAAGGAGACAGCTGGAAGAGTCTGGGTGTCAAATTTGATGAAACTTTAAATATGGAAAGACAGATCAATAATGTCAAAAGGAAATGTAGCTGGACAATGATGAACCTAAGAACTATTGGTCGTTACCTAGATGAAGGCATTAAATTGATGTTGGTGAAACAACTGGTTATATCTAAGTTAGATTACTGTAATTCTCTATACATGAATCTACCCAAGACCAGACTAAACAAACTTAGATCCACCCTTAATGGGGCAGTTCGTTTCATCTATAACATAGAAGACAGAACCACGGACTTGGTTCCCTTCTATAAGAAGGCCCACATACTCCCTATAGAC